CTGTGCCTCCCTCTATCCCACAACTCTAGATTTTGGTCTTTTTATGCTGTCCCATAATCCTTGGATGTTCTGTTCCTGGTTTCTCACTATCTTCTCTCTTTGGTCAACTTTATTTTCCAGATTGTATACTTTGTCTTCATTATGTGACGTTCTTTCTTCTAAGTGATCTAGTCTGTTGGTTATACTTTCTATTGGGTTTTTCACTTGGTTTATTGCATCCTTCATTTCAAGGATTTTCTAACTGGTTTTTTTTTTTTCAGAGTCTGTATCTCTCTCTTGAAGTAATCTTTTGCTACCTCTACTTGCTGGCTTATCTCTTTGTTGGAGTGATCAATTTTTGCCTGTATTTGCTCATTTAGGTCATTCTTTAATTCACACATCATTTTAGTTATGAACCTTCTGAACTCCTTCTCTGACATTTCATCAACTTCACTGTCCATGGGTTCTGTATTACAGTGTCCTGGTTTGTTAGGGGCACTTTCCTCCCTTGTTTTTTCATGTTGTCTATGTGTCTTCCTTTCTTGCTGTGTGGATCTGAGACATTACAGTTTCTTCCTTATATTCTTGTAGTACCCATGCAGATTGTCTGTACCTCACCTTGATGTTGGGCTTCCAGACCCTGCAGGTTCCCCTCAACATATGCTACTGCCACTAAAGGTGGTGGTGGCTATAGCCGAGGTAACTCTAGATAATAGTTAAGGTGCCCCAAGATGGAAGCAATGTCTTACAGAGATGGGACTGAAAGGGTGGGCCTCATGCTGTCTTTGGGATGCCTGCTCTGAGATGTGGCTGCTTCTAGGCCCTGTCTGTGGTCAAAAAGTTAGGGGCTACCGCATGGGGAAGGCTATGGCGATGACTTCAGTGTTTCAAGATGAAAGTCGGTTACGCTTGGGCGCCCAGGTGTGGGGGCGGTGAACTGGGACCTACCCTGGACCTGGGTCCCTGCAATTTGGTGTGGGCGGTTTTAGGCGGGGCCGGGCCTCCCCCCATAGTCTTCTGGTTGGAAGGGACAGTCTTGTGCTGGACGCTGGGCTCCAGTGGGTATGTGCTGGTGGCAGGATGGAGCTTGATATTTTTATGGTATTACAAATGTTGATTTTTAAAATTTTAGTTGGATATCATTTATTGTTTCTTGCCCAATTGCATAGTCCAGAGCCTCCAATATGCTGAACAGAAGTGGTTAAGAGCAGACCTCCCCAATTCATTCTTCACATTGGGGAAAGTATTCAGGTTTTCATAATTATTACAGCTGTAAGGATTTTGTAGTTGCCTTTCACTAGGTTGAATAAGCTCCTTTGATTCCTAATTTGTTTACCTGAAAGCTGGATTTTATTAACTGTGTTTTTCCATATTCAGATGATTACATGACTATTCTTGTTTACTTCATTTATATGAGCAGTTACATTGATTAATTTCTGAATGTTCAATCAAGTCAGTGTTCCTTGGATAAATTTCATTTGATCAGGAAATATTACCTCAGTCTTATACTGCAAGACTGAAATTTAAAAGAGCTGTTCAGAATTTTCACTGTATGTTCATGAATAATGTTGGCCTGTCGTTTTCTTGTAACACGATTGACAAGTACCAGGGTGATTTTGGCCTCATAGAATGAGTCGGAAGTCTGTTCTCTTCCATTTGTTCAGAACAGTTTTGCAAAGAATGGCATTATTTCTGCTAACTGGAGCCATTAAAGCCTCTTGGGACCTAGATTGCCTTTAGACAAAGGTTTCAAACCACAATTTTAATTTCTTAAATAGACGCAGTGTTATAAAGTTATGTTTCTTCTTGAGTGAGCTGTGTAACTTGTGCCTTTCAAGTAATTTGTCAAGTTCTCCGTTGCTGATTTGATTGGGATAAATATTCCCATTCTAATAGTCTTTTACTCTCCTTTTATATCTGTGGAATCTGTAGTGGTGTCACCTTTCTCATTCCCAATATTAGTAATGTGTTCCTTGTTTCTTTTCTCCTGATCAATCTGGTTGAACATTCTATTCTTTCATTTAATCTTCCCAAATAAGCTTTTGGATCCATTGATTTTTCTCTAAGTTTTTTTTTTATTTCAATGAATCACACTTGTTCTTTATTCCCTTTCTTGTACTTGCTAGGGATTTAATTTTATCTTTCTAACTTCTTAAATAAGCAGCTCATTTGAGATCTTTTTCTAATATAGGTATTTGAATGCTAAAAATTGCAGTCTAATACTGCTTTAGTGGCAACCCATAATTTTGATATTGTTTTTAAATTTTTATTCACTTTACTTTTTAAATTTCCCTTCAGACTTCTTCTTTGACCTACAGGTTACTGAGTTAGTTTTCAAATATTGGGATGGGGGGTTTCAAGGGTCTTTCTGTTAATGATTTCTAATAATTCTATTCTGATCAGAAAATAGACACCATATAATGAAGACTTTTGAATTTGAGATGTTTTTGATGAGCCATGGTACAGTATGTCTCCTTAAATGTTCCATGTTTAGTTGATACTGTTGGGCAAAACTTTTATATTCTTACTGATTTCAGGATACTCATTAATTATTGAGAGGTGATTAAAATCTGATATTTTGCCATTTTACCATTTCTCCTTGCAATTCTGAAGTTTTTACTATATGCATTTTGAAGTTTGTTATCAGATGCCAAAACTGGTTTCTTCTTTAGTTGACTACTGTCAGTTATGGTAACATTCTTTGTTCTGAAACCTATTTTGAAATAAATATAGCCACTCTAGCTTTCACTTAAAAGTGTTAGTGTATCTTTTTCCTATCCTTTAAATCTATTTGTACTTTTATATCAAAACAACATTTCTCATAGGCAGCATATAGTTGAGTCTTATTTTTTTCAACCCAATCTTTTTAAAAACCCTGCCCTTTTTTTAAAAAAAATATTTCTTTAGTTGTAGATGAGCACAATACCTTTATTTTACTTGTTTTTATGTGGTGCTGACCTTTTTTGAGACAGGGTCTCACTAAGTTGCCTAGGGCCTCACTAAGTTACTGAGGCTGGCTTTGAACACACCATCCTCCTGCCTCAGCCTCCTGAGTTGCACCTGGCACAACACTCTACATTTAAGTGACAATAAAGCACTTGTACAGTCTAAGAATCCTACAACTGTATGCATCTCCTCTACTAGTCTTTCAAAGCCTTTGTGGTCATCAACTTCATTTTTACATATAAATCTCATGCAACTTTATTATTTATGTTTAAGTAACTATTTTTAAAGAGGTTTAGAAAACAGTGAATCATATAATTATCTGTGTTGTTCTACTTCCAATGCTCTTCGTTCCTTTGTGCAGGCTTTTTCCCTCTGACTGAAGGACATCCTTTAATCTTTCCTATCTTGTGGGCCCCCAGGTAATAGCCTTTCAGCTTTTATAAGTCTGAGAATGTCTTTATTTCTTGGGTTATTCTCTTTGCACTGGTGTCTAGTTCGCTGTTGAACTAATCATTTGAACTTTCAATTTCAATTATGATATTTTTCATTCCAGGACTTTTTCTTTTTCTTTTTCCCAGTCTTCTTGGTTATTTTTAAAATCATGTTCTTTAATCCTCATTTAAGTATAAAACACATTTTACATGTGTTTGGTTAACTCCAAGTGTTTGTGGCTCTGCTCCTGTTCATTTTTTCTGCTGGCTCTTGCCTATTTTATGTGTCTGTGACTTTCGACTATATATGTGTGTATTCCTTGAAACTCTAAGGGCAGTCTGGTTTGCTCCTGCGTTGCCTGCAAGGCACTAAACCATTATCACTTCAAATATACCCTCTCAGGGAGATGCTTTCCCTCAGGAGGTATCTTCCTTGCTGTCCCGGGGCTGCAGGGGTGAGAAGCAGGCAGGTTTGTTCATCGTTTGCCTTCACAGTGGGTCTGTGCTTTGGGGTCTCAGCTTTGAGCTCTCCTTGTGGTTCTTCTCCCTGGGCAGGCTCCGGGCTTTGTCTGCTGTTCTGTTGCCTCCTCCCCCACCAGGTTGTAAAAAGAAATGTTTATTTTGACATTTGGCAAATATATTAAGGGGTGAGAAGTAGCATCAATGCTCTTAATTACATTGGGTTCCTGCTTCCATTAAAAACAAAAAACAAAACAACAACAACAACAAGAAACCAGGGCCTGGGATGTGGCTCAGAGATGAGACAGCTTGCCTAGCAAGGCCCTGGGTTCAAACCCAACACTGTGAGAGAAAAATCTGCTTTTGAGAACTCTGACAAACTCATTGATTTTAAAAAATGGTTCTTCATATGTATTTTGGGAGTTTTTGCTGTTTTCAGCTGGTCCTTATCAGCCATATTGCTACATCCACAGATCCTCTCCTGCTCCACAGAGCTTGAGAACACACGAGGAGCCAGGCTGGCCGGAGATGAGATCTCAGGTCTACCACCAACATTACCTTGGTAGCTTACTTACATTCTGCCTCAGTCTTCTCAGAGGGCTGGTGAGAGAATTTCATGAGGTGAATATGTGAGTAGCTCTGAGGATAAGGAATAACCCTTGTAAGGACAATACAGGATTTCTTTTTGTTTCGTGGAAAAGTTGTAATGAGTAACAGATACACCTTGCCCAACTGTCCAACTCCCCCTGCTTCCTACCATTCCAGCCTGCTCTTCTAGACAGTAAGCCACAAACCTGTGCTTATTGATGGGAGAAATCAACTACGACTGACTGGCTGGATGACCAGCCCAGCTGCTGTCACAGATGGATCCCATTCCAGAACAGAGTGCTAGAGAATGTTGATTTGAGAAATGTTGTCATTAATACAGACCTGAGTGGTCACACATTCTTTTTCAATTAAGAAATATGAAGCTGTGTTTGTGTGTGCACTTCTGTAATCCCAGCTACTCAAGAGGCTGAGGAAGGAGATTTCAAGTTCAAAACCAGTCTTAGTGAGATGCTGATCAAACTAAAAAATAAAAAGGGCTGGAGATGTAGTTCAGTGATAGAGTACCCTGGATCCAATCCCAGTACCACAAAAAAACAAAACACACACACACAAAATGAAGAAATCTGAAAACAAGCATAAATATAAACAAACATGATTTTGAATTTTTTTATGGTGGACAATTATCATTTGCCCCAACAGCCATCTGAAGCCAATAGTCCTGATTATTAAAAATCACGAAGTTGTATAAATGTTCTCCTCCTTTCCAAAAACCATGTTCATTTTCTCTCCATGAAACCGGGCTGTCTGCAAAGCCTTGGACCGATAATGTAACCCATGGAGCTAACTTTGGTTCATCAAAGTAGTGACTGAAAAAGAAAGAGAACTCTTAGCAAACAGGGAGATTCAGGAATGTCCACATTTAAAAACAATTGACTCAGCATAAGTAGTATTTCTAATTTCTAAGGAAGCTTAACGACTTTTGCTTTAATTTATAAAAATTAGATGCAATTAAATTCCTGATACTATATTGTGAATTTCATAAAGTTCAACTAATACACAGTACATAAAACAAAACTCCATCAGTTCCAATCCCTATTCTGGAAGATCATTTAAGATAAAAAGAACAAAAACACCATACAGTGTATAGTTTCTCTCCCATCAAGAGTGCTTTCCTCCATCTCTGTTCACTGAAACAATGCAGAATACTTCACCAGGTTTTTAAAATCCAACCTTCTTATTAAAGAAAATCAAAGACCTAAACTAGTAAGTGTGAAAAAGGATGTTTGATTTAAAAAGGAAAACCCTGAAGACTTACATCTTAGACATTTTAAAAGTAAAGGCTGGGGTTTTAGCTCAGTGGTTGAGCACTTTGCCTCACATGCATGAGACACTGGGTTTGATCCTCAGCACCACATAAAATATATATATATAAATAAAATAGAGATATTGTGTCCATCTACAACTAAAAAAATTTTTTTAAAAAGACTGAGAAGAACAGAATGTTAGAGAATGTTGATTTGAGAAATGTTGTCATTATACAGAGGATTATAAGCTTGAATATTATTATAATATTCAATATTATATTATTGCATATAATATTATCATAAGCTTTATTATTATAAAGAGGATTATGCTCAAATTTAGTCATTTTAATAGGGATGTGAGCGTCCTCATATTAGACACAATGTATACATTTTATTAATACAGTACCTCCCAAAATGAAAAAAAACTATACTATTCTATAAAATACTTAGAACCTTATTAATGCCTAGTGATTCAGAGAATTTTAGGCTGGAACACATCTCAGATATGACTTGGATTCAGAAATGATCAGCTCTTTTCCGCTCCATTTTTGAATGAGAGATTTTGCAGAATTGCAATACTTAAAATAGACCATAATTTGTCACACAGAATGTCACTGTGTTTTTAAGTCATATAACTTGGCCTGCACCAAAAAAAAAAAAAAATGGCCCAGGGAGGCAGAACCAGGAAAATGAGCAGTTTGTTTCTCAGAAGCATTTAACTACTTGGTAGTAACATTTCCCTAGGAGCATCTTAATTACGACGTTTAAGATGATGAAGTCACTATACTGTCAGCCCAAGCAATGAAAAAAGAAAGGTGTGTGCAGGGCCCTGCCTGGGGAACGCCAGCACTGTTCTCACCATCACACCACGGCACCAACACGCACGATATAGAAGACAGAGTTCTTACCACAGCTGCTCCAGTAAGACAGAGATCTTTTCTGGAAGTATGAAACCAGTGATTGTACATAAATGAGCTTGGGCCACCACTGTGCTTGGTTGGGGACAGCAAAAGTTTGATATGAAATTATCAGGCTCGTTATTTCTGCCACAAAGAAAAAAAACCATATTTTTAGCCACTACATAATCAAATCCAAAGTATTAGACTGCTATTAAAAACATGCAACAAGCAGACCCCCACCAGACCCACGGAGTTCAGATACGCACAGGACTGCATTACAGAAGACACCTCCAAACCAGTCCAAGAGCTCTAGGGCACTGCAGGATGTCTCGGGCTCTCCCCTGAGCTCACAGCTCTGTAGCACTGGGCACTGGAGATCGCTCAATGTGCTCATTGATACTTTGGGCTGATGCTCCTGAATTTGGTATTTAGAAAAGAATGACAACATCGCTGATTCTTCTGCACCTTAAAACACACCACATAAGGCCACATGAATATGTAAAAACATTCACTGAATCCCTGAAACAACCCCACTCTCTTTTGAGTTATGGGAAACAGGCAAATGGAAGTAAAAATGGAGGCTGTGCAAAGCTGCATTCAAATCAAAACCATTGCAAGTTGCTTTCAGCTCCTTGTGCTCCCGTTCTGTGAACATTCACCATCGTTCACACTTTTCTGTAAATGTACACTTTCAGATTGGATCCAAATTAGTCTCATCATTTATTCTAATAAGAAAATTTCAATTTAAGACATAAACCCCAAAGCATTCCTTATGTCTGAGTAACAGTGAATACTACAGACAGAGAGCATGTTTACACAATCGCTGTACAGGAAAAGAAGAGGAAGCAAATGATGACAGAATCTCATTCAAGCTTTGAAAACCCAGTAATCCAATGTATCTTTTCAGAGATGTTTATGTAGCTTGCAGCCTTCAAATACAGAAATAGGACCTCCTCCAGAGCAAAGGATAGGCTTGCTTACCCTCCAGTATAATGGAAAAAAAAAAGTCTTGCTCCCTTATCTCTGTGCAGAGATCAGCAGGCTTACTGCTCATTATAAAAGATTTGAGTTCCTTAAGCTCTGGGTTCCTCTCCTGTTACGTAACCCACTGCATGCGCAAGCCTTACCGGATCAACTTTATGTCATTCTATGGGTGCTAGGACTCGGTGAAAGGGCGCAAATCCTGTTCTCTGTGTGATAGTTAATTTTAGGTGTCAACTTACTGGTAAAGTATTATTTATAGATGTGTCTGTGAGGGTGCTTCCAGGGAAAATGGCATTCGAGTCAGTGGACTAAGTAGGGAAGATCCACCTCAGTGTGGGTGGGCACCATTCAATTAGCTCAGGGGCCCAGACAGAACAAAAAGGCAGAAGACAGGCAAATTCACTCTTTCCTTTAACTGGGACATCCAGCTTCTCTGGCCTGGGGACTCCACGCCTGAACTAGTAAGGCCCCCCCAGGGTCTCAGGCCTTTGGCTTTGGATTGAGAATGATACTGTCAGCTTGCTTAGTTCTGAGGCCTCTTTTTGGTTTTTTTTGGACTGGCATCGCTGTGTCTCCTGTTTACAGATGGTCTATTATGGGACTTCTCAGCCTCTGTGACTGCATGAACCAATTCCCCTAATAAGCCCCCTCCTATCTCCCTCTCCCCCTCCCTCCTAATTACCTTTGTCTCTACTCTTATTGCTATGAGGAATCAAGTTTTTTTTTTTGTCTCTGACCCAGAAGTCTCATGTTCTGCAAGTAGGGTAAGATCTCATTAGCCTGCCAGTAGGGTAAAATCTCAGACTTTTCACAGTTCCTGAGAAATTCTGAAAGTAATTAAGAGTCTTAGGAACACATCCAGAACCTACTGTATAGGGAATCCTCATAGAAGACTTCAAGTGACTGAAACTTCAGTAAGTCCCTCTGCCCATTTTTATGACAAGTGCCAAAGAATTACAGAAGCAGAAGTCATGGGAGCAACTTGGGCAACCCAGTGAACAGGAACTTCCCATGAAGAGCAGATAGATGGACCTATTTCCAAAAGGGACCGACGTGCTTCCTTAGCCTCTGAATGAGAGTACTATGCTTTTATAATTCTTAATGATTTGATTCACTGTAATTATGCAATGGGCCAAAGATACACTTCTTAAAGCAGCAATGTATGTGGCAGGGTGGCAGTTGTGAGCAGATTAACATATTTGATGAACATCAAATTTTGAACTAAATTTAGTATTCCAATCAATTAAAAGTCACAACAAACTGAATCTGACATGTAATGGTATGCCTGAGCTATTATCCTGCAATAATGAAAGAGCAGATCATATATATAATTATAATTGGTGTTAATTTAAAATATTCTAGCCAAGGCTGTTTGAGGTAGGCAGGAGGGAAGGAAGGGGAGAAATTGATAAAGCTGTCTGAACCACTCTCAAGATCTCTGAATCTACATATAACCCAAGAAGATTGAGGCAGATGGCTAAGAGGTCTAGATTTCCTTAAGCTATTGTCTCAGAGATGGCAGAGGGCTAAAGCAATTTCCCTAATGATGTTTATACATTATGTGTAAATATTCTTTAATCATAGGAATAAATCAACATTCAATCTTTCACTACTCCTCTTGAATTAACAATTAGATTTCAAAATCGTTGTATATTACCTAATTTATTCTTCATACCTGTATGATGCCAAGCCAAAAGAAAATCGAATTTCATTGGCTTCTTTTCTTTGAAGGACCAACATATTCTTTCATACTTCTTAGAATTCAGGTTAAAGGATAAATCCATCAAATCAATGGAAACAACTTAAAAATGGAAAAAGAAATATATTCATTCAAATACACATATCTTGCATGGTGGAGAAAGTGTAATATTAAAAAGTCTAATATTTTGGAAGCTTTATAAATAGTAAAAATCACTTTATTCTTTTGGTACTCCCTTTATTGTACTAAGTAAAAAAAAAAATTCCTTCAGTGGGCATTTCTAGCATTGAGAACTATAACAATGCACACAATGGACACAATACATTTATTTTGTTTATTTATTTTTATGTGGTGCTGAGGATCAAACCCAGTGCCTTACATGTGCAAGGCAAGCGCTCTACCTGTGAGCCACGGCCCCAGCATCTACAACATGTTTTAATTCATATTTTTCCTCTGTCAAAGACCAATGGCAGAAGTCCTCAAAGGTCAACTCTAATCTACTTATGGATGTGGCAGTTTTAACTACTGATGTCCACACCAGATACTGTCAGAAGAACTGCATCTCTTTATACGTATGTAAATTTCTACTAGTAACTGTAAAGATCTGGTGAAATTAAAGGAAAATCTTCATTAAGTCATAAACTCTTATCTTGGATTGACTTCTTTGGATTTTTGACCTATAGCATACATGTCTAATGGACTGCCCAATTCTATGATCTTGGTAAAATGTAGCCTACAGCTGAAGAGAAATGCAACAGACTTAATAGCTTCATCTTATCCTCAGTGAAACTCAACCCGTCACTCCTTGAATCAGAGATTTTAAACACAAGAAGGACCTATGGTTTTCTGAACAAAGGGATCAGAGGCAATTTAAACATTTAAATCTAAGTTGCTTCGGGAAGATTCCTGACTTGTTAGAAACTGATGGGATATTATGTAATACTTACTAAATTTCATAATTTTTCTGCCAGAATACTGAGATGGATGACCCTGAAGTCCAGTTTCTTCATAAGTATCTTTATCCAGTGATAAAATTAATTTCCCTATAAATCAAATAGTTCCCATGAAAGAGATGCTAAAAACATGACTTACGTTCTCTAAGAATGAAAGACAATTAAGCAGCTCGATATCAATGTAATAAACTGCACACAATGACCTTATTTATAATATCTGGATATTATTTATACATGTATACACATAAGGATATTATAATAATGAAACTAGAAACAATCTAAATTTCTATTAAAGAGGGAACAGTTAAATCATGGCATACACATTCTTTCTAATATCTTTAAGACATTAAAAATTGTGAGTTAAAATTTAGGAACCTAGAATATATGCAATATATTCTATTGCATATTCAATAAATGTTTGGAAAATTCAATTTTGGGTAGGTGAGTACCAGGGACTCAACTCAGGGGCACTCGATCACTGAGTCACACTCCCAGCCCTATTTTATATTTTATTTAGGACACTGAGTTGCTAATTGCCACACTTTTGCTGAGGCAGACTTTGAACTTGCGATCTTCCTACTTGAGCCTGCCGAGCTGCTGGGATTACAGGTGTGAGTCATTGTGCCCAGCTTGGAAAATTCAATTTAAAAAAAATGTGGTTATAAGTATATTGCACTGATATGGAGAGATGTCTATGATCTGTAGCTTGGGAAAAGAGAACCTGAGAAATAATGTATGATACAATTTATGTTTTAAAAGAAAGAACACTTATGTGTGTTTATAAATTCATAGAAAATCTCTGGAAGAATAAATACCAAAATGTTAGTAGTTCCTTCAAAAAAAGGAGTGAATTTAGAGGGAGGGAGAACCTTTTCTTTGCTTGTATAGATGTACATGATCTGATTTTTTTGGTTGTTGGTTTTACATGTATTTCTTTTATAATTAAAGAAAGAAGAAAATGAGTGTTACCATTTGGAAGCAGGGCAACAGTATTATCTTCATCAATATTTGTATTGTATGTTAGTGCATAGCACGAACCTAGAAGAGAAATTAAGACAAAAGAAGAAATTATATCTGTAAAATGTTGGTAGATGATTCTCACATGACAACAAAACCTTCAGGTAAGTAACAATCAGTACCTACCACTGCTTCCGTTCACTCCATAAACCCAACATGTGCCACAGGTAATTTGGAACACAAAGAAGGCCAAAGTTCCAGCTATTTCACCCATAGCCCCATCCCCCACTATTAAGGGCCTATTTATGCAAGTTCACTATCATTAGGCAGAAAATGGATTCGGAATGGAACATGTATCCTTGGGGTTACCAGCAGAAAGTCACAAAGACTAGAATTTTAGGTCAATATTCAAAGGCTACTAAGCCTTTCCCCATCTGTTAAAAGGGGACCATAGGCCTGCTTCATAGAGGTATTGCAAGCTGTGTTAAATTTGGTAAGATATTTAAAAGTGTTAACTGTTGTTTAATTTGGTAAGATAAATTAAAATCTAAAATTTAAATTGGTAAGATATAATAAAACACTTATTGCTACAATAAGTGTTCCCAACATTAATGAAATACTATTATTTCATTAATAGGTAAGATATTTAAAAGTGTTAAAAGTGTTAACTGTTGTTTAATTTGATAAGATATATTAAAATCTAAAATTTAATTTGGTAAGATATAATAAAACACTTATTGCTATAATAAGTGTTCCCACCATTAATGAAATAATATCAGGCTTCAAAACAAAGGTAAGATGTTCAGTGTCATTATTAGCTCCAGCAGAGTCAGATGAGAGTGTACAAATAACTAGAATTCTTCACAGGGAGAATTTTTGCCCACTCTAGCAGAGAGGACAATTGCGGGGGCTACAACAAGATAAGTCCATAGCCAGGTGCAGTGATTTACTAGGTGAGAGCAAAATCCCAAAAGACATTCTGAAACACAATTCAAACCAATGGCTCCAGGAAACTACCAGAACAAACCAGTCATTGCAGCAGATACAGCTGGGAATGGGGTAAACAGAGAACACTTATCGACACAAAAATCTAAAAGACAACACTGAACCACAAGGAGCATCTGGTCCTGTGAGCAGCAACTGTGGCTGCATCAGGAGACGGACCTTCTGAAACAGCTGCTATGGGGACAGCTGGAAGTGTTAGTACTTTGCAGCCACCCATCCAACAGCAGCGCATCTGAACACACATCACCAGGTTCTTCTCTCCATGAATCCTTGTTGTAAATTGACAGACACCCTTATGTTATAACATTCCCATCCAGGACCTGGGGACAAATGTAATCAGTAACCACCACTCAAAGAGGACACAGGAAAGAGTAGGATGAGAATGCTGAGGGATGGGGAGTGATGCATGCATGTGACCCCAGGAAATATCCCCATGGATCTGTTTTAAAACAAGAGAACCTAGTACTGTTTCCCATAAGTTCCTCATCTTGCCCTGTTCACAGACGTTACATGGTTTTTCTTACCTTTCTTTACAAAAGTGTGGATAAATTCATGTGTAATTAATTCATGAAGAGGTAAATTCTTCACAAAGTAATAGGGTCCAGTGTCCGCAACCAGGTTTTTCAGTTCTTTTGATAGCATTCCACATTCAGGAATGAGAAATGAAACCTATTGGAATGTGTAATATAAACAAGGTCTTATTTTTCATGAAGATTAACATAAGGTTTTTAAGAAAAAAATATGAAAATTGCTCACTACAATTTTCACTGAAAGTTATTAGATAAACATACGAAACAAGCCTCTTAAGTTAACCTACCAGTCTTAGGCAAAGAAAAATGTGACAATTCAAGTTTTGTATTTCTGCACTCAAACATAGAGTACAGGAAAGAGACTGAACAAAAACATTTTAATGAAAAGATCTTATTCCCATTTTTATCTTTTGCAGATTAACAATATATTTTATATCTTTTTCTTCTCGTTATTTTTAAAGAAATATAATTGAACGTCCCTAGATTTGTTTGCCCTAGTATCATCCTGAAATCAAAGGAACTAACTGTTCCTGGGTGACTAAGAAATTTAGGGACATTCAATTATTAAGAGGCTACACAGAAGCAGAAGTGCTCCTGGATGTTTCCATTTTCTAGACAGAGAAATACAACCGTCACCGACGAATTAAGGTATAGATCCCTGACTTCTGTCTGTGACGGGCATTTCAACCAAAGCAGGGATATTAAAGCCGAGCGGTTTCAAATATTGCCCAAGCGCTCACATCTTGAAAATCCCTCCCTTAGAGCTCAAACGCCAGCCTCTTCCGAGGGATTAGGTCGTCACTTCATGTCACCGAGAAATCAATCAGGCCGATTAATTTAAAATGTAAAGATGCTTATTTAAACCCTTAGTATCTCCAGGGTTTATTTGGAGTTTTTCGAGTATCAAACCAGCTCCTTCAAGCAGTTTAGAAAAACTGAGCACGAAGCTCTGCAAGGACGCCGAGGCACACAGGCGCAAGAGAAAATCAAGCTACGATTTAGGGGAGGGAGACAAGCTCGTGGCAGCCCTCGTTCTCTCCTCCCTCCCTCGTTCCCGCCTGGCTCTTCACAAGCTCTCTTAACACTCCTCGTGGGATGGAGCAGATTTGGGGAGAGCAGCCCCAGCGCTTTAGGGAGGCGCACACCTCCCAGTCCATCCCCCTAGGGCTGCGCACCGCCCTGCACCCGACGCATGCTGGGAGTTGAAGTCCTGTAGCCCTGCAACCAACCGGGCCGAGAGGCGAAGAGACTACGACTCCCAGCATGCCCAACGAGGGACACGCCCTCTCCCCGCCCCTGCGAGTGCGACGGTAACCCCGCCTTGTAAAGCTGAGCAAGAGCCTCTCTTTCCAAAACTGACTGCCCGCAGGAACCTAACTCACCCTGTAATTATGATAGTGCGTCTCCACGAGGTGCCGGTGGCGCGACTTGTCGTGGCTGAAGTTGGATTTCTCGCAGACCAGTAAGTGCCGGGGCGCCTCTCGCAGTCTGCGCAGCGTGGCCATGCTCTCTGCGATTCCGGGTGCTCGGCGTCTCTGAAGAGCTTGGGACGCCACGCCCCTCCTCTTCGCCACGCCCCTCCTCTTCGCCACGCCCCCCGGGCACGCGCAGTGACTGGTCCCTGCCGCCGGAGTAGCGCGGGTGTCTGCAGTGTCTGCAGTTTCGAGAAGCGGGCGCTTAAACTCTCGATAGCCTCTCGAAACTGTAAATTTGCTCCCAAATGGAAATAGTCGGTTCCTAGGAGCCTGGCACTCACCTTTCCAAAGCCACGTCCCCTTCACCCCTTCCATCACTCCGCGCTGCCCTGAATCCTCCCTCAGGAGCCCCAGACTCTGAGGAGTGACTGTTCCCAGCCCGTGGAAGCAGAGGAGGGAAGGCCCGACGTCGGAGATTCCGCTGTACGGTTGGGGGAGCCTCCAAGCCCCTTGCGGGGGCAGCACCCACACCGCTTTCCCGAGTCCTCACAAAGTCTAGTCCGCAGGGTTTTGTTATCGTGTTGTGGACCAACAGGACGTAACGTTTCCACGGGTCCTTCTCAAAAAGTCAAGGAAGTTCGTGTAAGAAAATAATACACACTTTCTGCCCCATAACAGGACTCCTTTGGAGCCACTTCTAAAAGTCCTGTTTAAATATCCCCTTGGAACCATTTTCGAAAATGTGTTGCTTTGTGGCATTACAGGGAAAAATCTTTTTATTTTTATTTTTTACTTTGTTACTGGGGATTGAACTCAAGAGTCACTTAACCACTGAGCCATCTCCACCCTTTTTTATTTTTTTATTTTGAGACAGGCTCTGGCTAAGTTATGAGGCTGGCCTGGAAGTTGCCATCCTCCTGTTTCAGCCTCCCGAGCTGCTGGGATTACGGGTGTGCGCCACCACGCCTGGCCTAACAGGGATAAACCTCTAAAGTCATTTTTCCATTTAGTTTTTCTGATTAACTTTTAAATACTACATTCTGTGTGCTTCTTTTTTACTAGAGCATTATAGTTACACGTGGTAGTTGGGTTCGTTTTGACTATGTGCTTTTTTTTAATATTTATTTTTTAGTTTTAGGTGGACACAATATCTTTATTTTTTAGTTTTAGGTGGACACAATATCTTTATTTTTATGTGGTGCTGAGGATCCAACCCAGTGCTTCACACATACTAGGCGAGCTCTCTACCACTGAGCCACAACCCCAGTCCTTGATTCTGTGCTTTTTAAATTGAAGAATCCATCGTTCAAGTTCTGCACCGGGAGAATGCAAAACAGAACACTGGTGATACTTCATCCTGGAACATTAATTTTACTATAGAATTTAGAAGAATAGGGTTTAGTAATTTACAAAGTAATTAAAAATTTAAAACCAAGACAAGGCTGGTAATTAAAAATTTAAAACCAAGACAATAACTGTTAGTACCATGTGCTTGAAATGTCAGATTTTCTCCAAGAAAAAAATTCCAATGAGAACCTATTTCCTGCTGGGAGCACACCTGTAATCCCATCACTTGGGAGGTGGAGGCAGGAAGATTAAAAGTTCAAGGCCAACCTGAGCAACTTAGTAAGACCTCATCATAAAATAAAAAAATAAAAAGAAGGGCTGTAGCTCAGTAATGAAGCACCCCTGAGTTCATTGTCCAGTACCATATAAGAGAGACA